CGACACGCACCGCTGCCGTCCTGCCTGGCTGCATGGGCGGAGCACCGTAACTGTTTCTGTTTTGTTTTTATTGCATTGAGTGGGCGACCTCTCTCTCTCCCTCTGTGTGTGTGTTTTGCTTTACGGGAGCAATGAGAGTGTGTGCGCTGGTCGTCCCACGCTTTTTATTGTTTTACTTGTGTTGTGGTTGAGTGCACCCATTCCGCGGCTGCGTGTGTGTGTGTGTGTGATGATATGAGTAATTTGCGTGTGTGCTATCTGCCTCTCTCTTTGCCGTTGCTTTATTTGGACTCTTTTTTGTTGCACAGCTGCTCTGCGAGTATAGGCGCTGACATGCACAGAAGCACAAGCACATGCACACACACGCCATGTTGCACACAGGTGGGCAGCCCCTGCACTGCTAGAGGAGCTCTCGGCGCGCTTTGGAATGCCGCAGCGGGCACCATTGGACTCGGTGCGTTGGCGCCTGTGGCTGCCGTTGTCGACGCTCCGATCCGCTCTGTTGGAAGTGCCGGCGTGGTCGTGGTGCGGCGGGAGAGCAGCGGCGGATACGGTGACCTCTACGCAGTGAGTTCACAGTAACTTCCTTGGCCAGTGGCAGTGCGGATGGAACGGTCATAATGATCGCACCGCCGGCATGCTTGTTGTCGAGTTCTCCAAAAGGAGAGCAGTGAAAGAAGGTCCGTCCGCATGACTCTTTGCATCTCCGCCTCAGGGCTGCGCATCACAATTGGGGTTGCCGTGCGGTTATGCAACAGGCCATGATCTGCTGGGAGAGCGCGCTGTGCGATGCTCCTGCAACTGGGACTGATGCTGTGCCGTTGGCGGATGTTGAGTGGCCGATCACACAAATATTGCGACACCACAAAGAGAAAGGACCAAACACTCCGCGTGGAGGGAGCGTTGCGGCTGGTGAGGACTCTGTGCGACGGTGATGGACGTTTTCTCGACGACGGATTGACGGATTGTCCATTTGATGGAGTCGGTGCACACGCTGTGCGCATGGCCGCCTCTGTGGTCTCCTGTTACTCCGCTGCGTGGGCCGCATTCTGACGCAATACTGGTCCAAAGCCATTTTGTTTTTCTTTACTCTTCTTTTTCCTTTGTTTCTCTTCTCCTGCATCCAGGCTGCACTGCTGCTGCTACTCACACGAAACCAAGAAATGCATTTTACTCAGGCCATGCGCCAGCCACGCCGCGACACGCCGCTTTTCTCACTGACGGTGTTGCTGCTGATGTGTTGCGCCAGTGGGTGTATTGCCGTTGCACCCGCCACACAGTACCGCTGTGGGTTTGACGTGAAGAGGAAAAGCGGTCCGCTGTCGACTGCGGTTGTGCGTGAGGTGCTGTGCAAGGGACAGGACGAGATGCAGGCGTACACCTTCGCCACACAGGATGACAACAGTGGCTGGGAGCCGATCCGCATGGTGGTGTCGACGGAGGATCTGGAGAGAGGCACGAACAAGAGGAAGAAGTACTGCGAAGAGGGAGAGGATGAGTGCTACAATGCATTGGGGCAAAAGGTATCATGCAAAGCGGGACATGTCTTGACGGAAGAAAAGAAACAATTGTACACTCGAAAGATTCTCCCCGGTGCCGTCAAACTGCACACTGAGCGACTACTTGTGAAACCCACTGGTGGGACGATAACTGTACCGAGGGCTATGAATGGACCGTGCAGCCACTTTACGGTTCCTACCAGGCACAAGAGTGACGGTGTGCTGAATGCAGATTTTATCATCTACGCTGCTGCTAGGCCATCAGGCACGGATGGCAGGGCTGTGTGGCCGGCCACGTGTAACACATTGAAAGATTTTCGCCCCAACATTGACGCCATGAACTTTTATCCGAAGTAAATGGCCGACACGGCGTGGAGCGTTCGCGTTGCCGCACACGAAATTGCGCATGCACTTGGGTTCAGCCAGGAGTGTATGGAAGAAAAGAGCCTGGTGAAGAAGCGAGAGAGAAGTGTGCGTGGGACGCACCGCAGGATGGTGGCAGGGAATCACGTTCGGGACAAAGCGAAAGCGCACTTTGGTTGTGACTCTCTCGAGGGCATGGTGCTGGAGGACGAAGATGGCCTTCCGGAAAAGAAATCCCTCACTGGAAGGGACGCCACGCGCGGGACGAGCTGATGGCCCCCACAGTTGGTGCCGGCTACTACACTGCTCTGATGATGGCGGTGTTTGAGGATATGGGATACTACCGCGTGAATTGGAGGATGGCGGAGCCGATGAGCTGGGGCCACTGCAGTGGCTGCGACTTCCTGGAGAAGAAGCGCAATACAACCGATAATCTTGCCGCCAAGTATCCTCACATGTTTTGCGATGCTAAAGACACAGAGACGCTTCGCTGCACCTCCGACCGCCGTCACGTTGGGACGTGCACCGCAACCATCGTTGAGGACAAGGGGAGTCTGGTGGATAAGGACGTTTGCCCTGTTGTTTCTTTGGAATTTCACGAAATCTCGTCTGGGACAACGTACAGGACGTGCTCGGACGAAAATGTGGATTATCTCCGTGTGTCGCTGACTGGCGGTGGCTCGTGGTGCCTGGACGCGGAATTACTGGAGACGAAGGACGGTGATGGCCATAAAAGCGTCAAGGGAGTGTGCGCGCAGGTGTCGTGTGAGGAGGGCACAGTGAGGGTGAGGCACCTCGGCAGCAGTGTTTTTCAGCCTTGACCTGAGGGCACTGACATCCCAGTGACGTTTAAAGATTTTAAGAAGGATGGGAAGATCAATTCCCCACGTACGGCGAGGTGTGCACCATTGCCGCGAACGGCAGCAGTCTTGTCATTCCGAGTGCGTTGGTGGGTGGACAGGGTGACGAGCAAGAGGAGGAAGCAGAAGAGTCTGCGGTTGCTTCAGGGTCGCCTTCTCCGGAGGATACTCGTCCACAGTTGTCTCCTGTGGCGTCTGGTGCCTCCATTGAGAACGAGCCTCCCGGTGCTTCGGCTGCGGGTGTCGCTGGTGGTGGCCTTCATGCCGGTCCGAGGGGTGATCCGGGGGTGCGGGCCGAAAGTGAGGACAACACTCAGCGGCGAGGGAGGAGACCTGGCAGTGGAAGCGAGGGAGCCGACAGAGCCTCCGGCCCTGACGCTTTTTTTTTTGCGCCATCGCCCGGCGAGGACGTTGCACGAGCGGAGGGCGACCCGCGGGCGGATTGCCCAGCGGTGGCTCCCAGTGCCTCCGCGCCTGCCACTCCGATTCCGTCCGTCAACAGCGACGATTCTCAGGCGATACCCGATGCGTTGGTACAGCAGGCCGACAGTGATTGTTGTGTGGCTGCTGCTACCGCTGGCCTCATTCCCTTTGTGCTTCTTGTTGTGGTCGCTGTGGCGGTAGTGGTGGTGCCTCTTTGAGCAGCCGCGGCGGCTGGGCGCAATCAAACTGCGGCAGGGCGACAGTATTTACTTGGCACATTGGCCCCGCACTCAAGATGTGCAAAACCGTAGCAATAACAATATAATACACTCACTGCATTCCCCATGTCCTTCTTTGCTTGCGGTGATGGGCAAAATGACCGGTCTTTTATTGCATTGTTTGTCGTTCTGGGAAAAGGTGTTTTTGCTTTATTGCTTGGAGGGTTTAACTTCCGTGAAAACTGTGTGTGAACGAAGTAATATGGAGAGAAAAGACAGTTCCCAGCACCACATGTATACACGCGTTTTTTGATGCGATTGGGACGAGGGGAAACCACCGTACTCTAATCGTGAGTAAAAAGTAAAGGAGATGTGCTCCAATGGAGGCGGGGTCGTGCCAGCAGCTGTTTCTCTGAAGGACAGGGACGACTGCCTCTGCCTCCGTAATTGGTGCATGCGGCTTTATCTTTTACAGTTTTGCTTGTTTTTGTGGATCTGTTTTTTTTTTTGTGTGTGTGCGTCATTGCGAGAATGTGGACCTCAAATAATTTCTGTGCTTCGGCTTTCAATCTGTATGCACCTTTTTTATTTTTCTGCCTTCCCGATTTTTTGCATTCGTTTTTGATTGGCTGTGTGTGTTTCGGGTGCTCTGCTGCACTGTGGGTAGTGTGTCTTAATTCCCTCTGTCCCTGCTGTTCTGATTGTGAGAACACGCTGTGGGTGAGGGTGCATGGCTCCGTGGTTGCGGCACTATTTGTTGTGGTTGCGTTGGGGCAGCCCCGATAAGACTGCCAACGTGTGCCTCTTGGGTGTCTCGTTGGGCTCATTTCCGTCTCCTGCGCGATGGACTCCCATCTTCGGCGCACCCTTTCGTGCAGTGGCGTCAGCGCAACAAGGTGGCAGTTTTGCTGTTGTTGCTGCTTCAGCTGTTTCGTGTTTCCCTCTGGTATTGTGAGGTGCGGGTGTCGGATGTGGCGGCAATGAGCCGGAGATAAGGAAGGAGGAGGATGGTGCGTGCGTGCGGGAGTGCCCTGCGGTGCTGGAGCGGTGCGCACTGTTTGCGGGCTTGATGCGCCCCTTTGGTGCATGACGTGTCTTGGTGTGTCCTTCTTGCCGTGTGTGGTGCCAGCCGGCTCTTCACGATTGTGGCAATGGCGTGTTGACAGCTGTGTTTGGGTTGGCGCTGGCTGTTCCACCCTCTGGGGCTACGAGGACGTATGCGTCACGATGAGCGACAACAATTGTGCACGACGCCTGGTCCGCAGGCAAGTGACGCACCGACTGCCGACGCGGCGCGGCCCTCTTGCCTTTTTCGACCCTCTGGTAGCCCACAGTCTGATGTCTAGCCGTAGTGGTCTCCTCTTTTCTCGCTCCATTTTTGTGTGACCGCATGCACTGACCACAACAATTGTACAAAAGTATTACAGAGTGCAGGGCTGTGTGTGTGTGTTCCTGCTGCCGTGGATTGGAGTGTGTGTCGTGCGTGGTGTGCGGCGCACGGTGCATGCCTGGCTGCTGCCCTCTCCTCATGTGGTGTGCCCTCTGTGTGTGTCTGCCGCACCTCTCGTCTCCCCTGTTGCTCTCCATGTCCCTCACTGTGCAGATCAGCTCCACACCACTGAACGACCACACTCACGATGATGACGTGCCGTCTGCTGTGCGCCCTGTTGGTGCTCGCCCTCTGCTGTTGCCCTTCCGTGTGCGCCGCAGACATTACCCTGACTGAACCTCAAACTGAGAGAAAAGGCGCCAGCCTGCCGTCCACTACGCCAGAGACTAGGTCTGAGACTCAAGATGCTGCCGACACCAGTCAATTGCGCTCTCCAGAAGAAGGCTCTAGTCTGGATCCGGAGAATCAAGTTGATGCGAGGGGAAAGGACACCAGCCCGCCGTCCCCTGCAGAAGAGGGAGCAATTCGGAGCAGCGGTGAGTCAGGTTCACGGAGCCAGGATTCCGGCGCGGCGGAGGAAAATACCGCCAGCTCATTGCCCCCTGCACCACCCACTGAGCCTAGCAAGAAAACTGAGACGAATCCGGGGGATAAAGATAATTCTATGAAGATCATGACGCCTGAGGATACCTCCGAGACGACCACGTCCACTACAAAAAAAGCACCAACCACGACTACAACCACTGCGCCCGAGGCACCAAGTACTATGACCACAGAGGCGCCAACCACGACGACCACCCGCGCACCGTCACGTCTTCGCGAAATCGACGGCGGCCTCAGCAGCTCTGCGTGGGTGTGTGCCCCGCTGCTGCTCGCTGTATCCGCGCTGGCGTACACCACTCTGGGCTGAAGAGGTGCATGCGGGCTGTGCGTGCCAGCACTCAACCGCGGGGATTTGTGCGCGTCCACTGTGGTCCGATGTATAAAGTATGTGTAATTATGATGATTGTGTTTTGCTTTGTTTGCTTCTGCTGCCCTGCTGTGTGGTCCGCGTTGTTGATCCCTTTATCCGTCACGATGAACGCATTCTAGACACACTCATATGCATGCGCAGTGGAGTCTTGTGTTTTTTTTTCCTTTTTAATTTTTTGTTGTTGTGTTTTTTAATCTTACAGTTTGCAGGGCGGTGTGCAAGTTTTGCAGTCGTGCTGATTCCATCTGCCTTATGGTGTTGCTGGGATGCTGTTGTTTGGAATGTACATGGTGTAGCGGCCTTGTATTTTTATTTTGCTTTTGCTCTGCGTTGGCGGGGCGTTAGTTTGTGCTGAAGGCCACACGCAAGTGACGGGAGTGATGGCGATGATGATGACTGGCCGTGTGCTGCTGGTGTGTGCCCTCTGCGTGCTGTGGTGCATCGTTGCTGCGGTGAATGGTGGTGCTGTTGCCGCAATGGAAAGTGAAGAAGAATCCGAGCGTTTACCGTCTGGACGTCAAGACGGCGATGGAAGGGGTCACCAGGAATCAGAGGATTCAGTCCAGCAAGAGTCCGAGACCGCAAATGAATCGTTGGGTGCCGGAAAAGGGAAGAGTCCTAAAAAGCAGGATGGAGTTGTCTCCACACAACCAATAAATTCCGACAGAACGGTCATAGAAACGGAAACAGAAAGGGGTAAAAGTAAAGAAGAGGGGAGTAAAGAAACAACGGGGAGGATTGTAACTCCAAAGAGGGATGAAAAGATAACCGAATTAACATCAACGACAGAAGAAGATCGAAAAAAGGCATCTCCACCGGCTGAAAGAGCACAAACAAAGGACGAAATCACGCCGGGAGTAACGCCACCCGCAAAAAATGAAAACTCAGCAGGAATTTTAAGTGCAACGCCAGGAAAAGCAATGGTCATCCCTGAAGGTAATTCCAAACAATCAGAAGGAGGAACAAATCCAGCAAATGGATTGGCAACAGCAATGCCATCAACAAAAAAAGGGGAAGCTCCAGAGGCACTAACATCACAACCCACAAAAAATGAAAAAGCAGAAGGAGATTCAACAGTAAGAAGAAATACTGAAAAACCCATCCCTGAGGTTACCGCCTCCGTGCAAAAAACAGAAATTCTCCTGGACGACGAGGAGGTAACAAGCAATCAACGAAATGAAGACCTTGCATCAACCACCGGCAACCAAGAGGGTGAACAATCGGACTTTCATGCCGAATCGACACCAAAATCAATCTCAGCTGCCAGTAATGCTGCCAATGATGACGCTGACACGGATACTGATCAAGGGATTCCAAATAATGATTCAGCAACCGGTGGTGCAGTCACAGAAGGAAGACACCAAGATGGAAAAAAAGAAGAGAGAGCGGAGGAAAAAACACCTCTCAAATCTGTCCCTATCATAAATGATACGGCGACGACTGGCGACAGTGACGGCAGCACCGCGGTCTCACACACAACCTCCCCTCTTTTGCTTCTTCTTGTTGTTGCGTGTGCGGCTGCTGCTGCGGTGGTGGCCGCGTGAGAGTGAGGGAGAGAGAGCCGTGCACCGCCCGCACACACACTCGTCCTTCTCTCTCTGAGTGTGTGTGTCCCCTTGCATGGACTCTCGCCCCCACCTCACCCCACGAGGCACACACATAATTTGCCCATTGTATATATGCATGCACACCCATGCATGCCCGTTGGTGCTCTCTTTTGCACGACACGCACCGCTGCCGTCCTGCCTGGCTGCATGGACGGAGCACCGTAACTGTTTCTGTTTTGTTTTTATTGCATTGAGTGGGCGACCTCTCTCTCTCTCCCTCTGTGTGTGTGTTTTGCTTTACGGGAGTAATGAGAGTGTGTGTGCGCTGGTCGTCCCACGTTTCTTCTTTTTGTTTTCCTTTTTGATTTTGTGGTTGAGTGCACCCATTCCGCGGGCTGCGCGTGTGTGATGATATGAGTAATTTGCGTGTGTGCTATCTGCCTCTCTCTGCCGTTGCTTTCTTTGAACTCTCTTGTGGCGCACAGCTGCTCCGCAAGTATATCCATTGACAAACACACAAGCACACACGCCATTATGCATACGCTGTAGAGCGGCGTGATTTCTGAGAACGGATGCACGCAGAAGATTCGGGCTGCGAATTCCCTTGCGAGGAGGGAGGACGGGATCCTGCAATTTATTTTTTGACACGTTGCTGGTGTGCAGTCGATTGGGTCGTGTGGCTTAAGGTGCCTGGGACAAGTGCGCATTGCTTTTCGCCCAGCTGCTGCACGTGCCAATGTGTATCTCCTATGCTGTGTATACTTTGGTCAGGGATTCTTCGCCTGTGTGGGATGATGTGCATTGGAGAAGACAACAGTAAGATGACTGGCGACAGCGCGTCGGTGCTGCGAAGGACTATCTTGTTCCCTTTTGCATCCCGTTGGTTGTTTTTTGCTGGGCGTTGCTCGGTGTATGCACACGCGTGACGAATAAGAAACCCACCGTGACTCCTGCTGCTGCTGCTGGTGGCAGTCGCTGTGTGTTCCCGGTGCACTGTTCTTCCTTCTCGTTCCGTGTGTCTGTGTGCGTGAGTTGTTGTTGTGGGGAGTGACTGCGGCGGAGATGATGGTGCCACTCACTGTGGATGGGTGGCGGTGCCCACTGTTTCCTTTTTATTAGCCTGTTTTTTCTTCATTTATTTCACTCTCTTACGAATAAAGAAAACAAGCGCTTAACGCCACTGTGAAATTCGAAGGCACTGAAAGGACCAACAGCACACACACCGTCCACACACACATATTTATATGCTCTCACGTGTTGCTGCAGTGAAGGCACCCCGCACACACAACCGTCGCCGCGTGACCGGATCCAGCGGGAGGAGGAGGGAAGGAGGAGAGAGTGAGCCGCAGAGGCCCAACATGTCCCGGCGTGTGATTACTTCTGCGGTGCTCCTCCTCCTCGTGATGATGTGCTGCGGCACTGGTGGGGCTGCGCAAGCTGCTGAGCCAACGATACCTGAGGCACCTGTACCGAAGTCATCTTTTGGTTGGAGAGATACAACAGGTGATGAAACAGTGAGTTCGCTTCGTGGTCCCAGTCTTGTTGAGGTGAATGGTAAAGTGTTTGCCGTTGCCGAGGCGCAGTGCAAGAATGGTGAAACCAGCGTTTTTACTGGCATTGCATCCCGACTACTCACGATGGAAAAGGGTAACGAACCGAAGGATGTGCTGAAAGAAGCCAAGGTGAAAACACAAATTCTGGAGGAAGGCGGTTCTGGAAAGGGGAAGAAAGTAGATGTGAGCCGACCAACAACAGTTGTGAATGGAAGTGATATTCACATGCTTGTTGGAAAACACAGTCATGAAGATCTCGCTAACTGTCAGGTTACGACCGAAACCATCAATTCGGGAATATTGCTGGTGAAGGGCGAGGTCGTTGAGGACGGTAACAAAGTAAATTGGAACGATACTGACGGTGTACCGTGCACTCTAGGCGAGAAACACGAATCCTTGTCACAGCTGATTGGCGGCGGTGGATCGGGTGTTAAGTTGAAGGACGGTACACTTGTGTTCCCCGTGGAAGCCACGAAGAAGAAGAATGAGGAGGACAAAGATGTGAAAGCCGTTTCGCTGATCATATACTCCTTGAAGGATGCTACGAATTGGACGCTGTCGAAGGGGATGTCTGACGATGGCTGCAGTGATCCCTCCGTCGTGGAGTGGGAGAAGGACAAACTCATGATGATGACTGCGTGTGATGATGGCCGCCGCAGGGTGTACGAGATCGGTGACAAGGGGGATTCGTGGACGGAGGCACTCGGGACACTCTCGCGCGTGTGGGCCAGCAAACAAAAGGGAAAGGTTGAAATTGTTGGAAGCGGGTTCATCACAGCGGCTCTTGGTGATGGAGATGATAAGAGAAATGTGATGCTCGTTACTCTGCCGGTGTATTCCAAGGAGGAAGGCAATGGAAAGGGCGTACTCCATCTTTGGCTGACGGACAATACGCATATTGTTGACATTGGGTCGGTGTCCGGGAAGGAAGACGACGTTGCCGCCAGCTCCCTGCTGTACAAAAGTGGGAATAATAAGAAGGAGGAGGAGTTGATTGCACTGTACGAGAAGAAGGGCGATGGGGAAAAACCATCACCCGGTATGGTCTCTGTGCGTCTGACTGAGCAGCTGCAGCGTGTGAAGGAGGTGCTGACGACCTGGAAGAAAGTGGACGACCGTGTCTCCAAGCTGTGCCCCACTGAGAATGCTGAGCATGATTCCTCAACTGACGATGCCTGCAGCACTACTGATAAGATCACGGATGGACTGGTTGGCTTTTTGTCCGGCAACTTCTCTGATGGCACATGGAGGGACGAGTACCTCGGCGTGAACGCCACAGTAAATGAGAATGTTGGGGCGGAACCGGCGGATAATGGCGTGAAGTTCACAGGACATGGTGCAGGGGCGGAATGGCCCGTTGGCAAGCGAGGGGATAATCAGCTGTACCACTTTGCGAACTACAACTTCACTCTTGTGGCGACGGTGTCCATCGACGAGGCGCTGAAGAGTGGCAGCCACATTACTTTAATTGGTGCGAAGATGGATGACAATGAGAAGAGTGTACTCGTGGGACTGTCGTACAACAACAAGGAAAAGAAGTGGATATTACTGTGCGATGGCAGAGAGAACAAGGAGCACAGCAGCCATTTGGAGACAGAGAATTCAGAACACGTGGTAATTTTGCTACGGAACGGCAACCAGGGCTCCGTGTACGTTGATGGTCAGCGTGTGGGAGATGCACAATTAGACTTGAAGGATATTAAAGACAAAAAGATCTCTCACTTCTACATTGGAGGGGATGAAGGCAGCGCAGAGGGCCAAGAGGGCCAAGAAGGCGTGTCTGTGACCGTATCAAATGTCCTGCTGTACAACCGCCCGTGGACATCCGAAGAGATTGCAGGGCTTGCCAAAAATAAAATTACTATTTCGAAGCCGGAAGGTCCGAAGACATCGATGGATACTCAATCATCAGCGACAAGTGGATCACCTGTGCAGGGAGCCGTGTCCTTGTCCAATTCTGCCAGGCAACTGCCGTCGGAACAGGAAACGCTGAAAGAGAATATTGGTGCGGACGGTGTATCCGGTGCAGCTTCCGTTACTACTCCTTCAGCAGATGCAAACACTCCTGCCTCTAATGGCGAGGGGAAAGTTGAACCTGCAGTGAAAAAGGAGATGAGCGTGAGCTCTGGTGAAGATGCGGAGACTGTGGGAGGAACGGATGTGCAGGAAGGAATCCATCCACAGGCCGGGGAAGTAAATGCAACGGCACTCAACAGCAGCCTCGGACATTTGTCGCAGGGGAATAACAGCGATGGCGGCACTGTGCGTGGGAGCGGACTGCTGCCATCGCTGCTTCTGCTGTTGGGACTGTGGGGGTTTGCGGCTCTGTGAGGCGTGACTGGCAGCGGCGTGGAATACCTGCGACCTCCCGAGCACAGAATTACTTCCTCGATAACTAATATCTCTGATACTTTTACTTTTTTCTTGCGTACTTTAAATTTATTTTCCTGTTTGCTTCTTTCTTGTTTTAAAATTCTTTTTTTTCTCATCCCCCATCCCTCTTTTTTGCTTTTCGGGGGCAATCACTATGGACGTTTTTTCTTTTCTACTCTTCCCTCTTTTAATTTCTTCTTCCGCACTCTTCCTGTGGGGTGTGCCGTGTGTTTCCCGCCCAACTGCTCCACTCGCACACCCACCGACACGCTCATGACGACGGCCCTGTGCGCCTCGCCTGCTGCACGCATGAGGAGGGGCCGCGACGAACGGCGCGCTGAGGGAGCCGTGGCGTGTGGGCGTGCGACGAGGGCCTGTGGGGCGGAGCACACATTTCTTTCCCTCTTGTTTTGCTTGCTTTGCGGCCAGGGCGGGCAGACACCCGCAGCGCCACACACACACAGCCACACCCTGCCGCCGTGTTTTTAAGATTTCTTTTTTCTTTTGCTGCGCTCACTCTCCCGATGGAGTGACGCGACCGCCGTCATTTCTGCGTGCTTCTCTCAGTCCCCACACACACGAGTGACTGTGCTCTGCGGGCCGCACTCACGCGCCGATGGGAGGGCTGAGGGGAGCAGCAACACGCAGATGGCTGCATGAAATATAAACGATGTGCGGACACACAGAGGGTCGGACGGTTGAAGGACATTTAAATATCTTTTAATTTTATTTGCGGGCAAAATATATACAGACAGTTTGGTGTGGCCACACGGCAGCCGGCAGCTTTTTTAAATTTGTGTGGAACAGTAATGGACGATTTCTTTTTATTTATAATTATTTTGTGTGATGGGGTTTGTGTAAGACGAAGGGGGAAAGCTTTTTTTTGTTTTGGATGAATCTTGTGTGAGTTGCCGCTGCTTGGGCTGCGGTGCAGTCATGAGTTTGAGCGGTCTTCTTCTTGTTGCTTCCGCCACGCACCTCCGCTGTACATTTCGTGCATCTCTCCACATACTCTGCTCCCTCTTTTTTACTTCTTTGCTTTGTGTTTCTGCACACACACGAGATGCACATTGCGGTGGATTGTTCTTTTGCAGTGCATGCTGGCGGTTTCGCTCTTGTGCTGCTGCTGCTCGTCCGTGTGTGTGAGGGATGCTGGGAGTCGTGGACATGTATCTGGTGATGCGGATGAGGTGGTTGTGCCGGTGGATGTGTCGTGTGCTCCGAGTGACGGCAGCCTGAGCTATCGCGTGCGTGTGTGTGGACGTGGGAGAAGTGTTCCGCTGCCGGTGCTGAGGCTCAGCGTGAGAATTACACTTTCAGTGGCTTTGGTGTGCGCATGCATGGCAGGGATGGTGAGCTGCGTGCTGTGCGCCATGTGGCCAATGCGGTGCACACATGTAGCAACTGTGCTGCCACCTGCGCAAGGAAAGGGGAAGGGGCCACCGTTGCCTCCACGATGAATGTGACGACACATAAATACGCCGGCCCTTATGAATTGTGGCGGCGTCAATTTCCCCGATGGAACCATCCATCCGCCTGCACGGAGCAGCGATGCTGACCGGACGGCATCTGTCAGTTGCCGCCACCCCGTGAAGGGAAGGATGACACAAAATCTGGTGGGACAACTGCGCTGCAAGTGAATGCTGAGCCGTCACGTCAAAACGAGCGTGCGCGACAGTCTGCCGCAGCTGACGGACCCAACACCGTCGATCCGAGTCCCGCATCCAACACGGCGACCAACACGTCCGAGACGAGGCCTGTGTTCGCCTTTTGTGGAAGCACATGGTGACTTGGACACCACCCGAAAGAAGGCCCACGCCTGTCACCGAGCCGCAGGGGAATCCTGTTGGTGATGCGATGATTGGTTTAATAAATGTTGAGTTGCCGCAGGGAGTCGATCTATTTGTGGCGCAGACGACGCTGGTGCAGCCGAAGGATGGGATTGTTCCAGTTACGGCGAGGGATTCGTTTGTTTCACCCTCTCTCGTCAGTGCCGGTGGAGTAATTGCTGCTTTCTTTGAAGGTTGCATGGATGCCGAATATCAACGTGGTCAATTAATTATGTCCTTTTCTTCTGGTTTTGTTGCGGGGTACATTGACTATGCGTGGAATTGGTCCGCTCTTGTTGGTGAGGTCAATAAAAGATGCATGGAGGGCACACACTGTGCTTGGTGCAGCGGAGGGAGAGGAGAGTTTGGGTGTTGTGCTCCGCCCCACAACAATCACGAAGGGCAACAGAGTGTTTCTTCTTACTGGAGGCTCTGATGTGTCCTACGAAAGTGTGTGCTGGAGGGAGGGCGGCTTGGAGCCGAAACTGGTTGTGGGTGATGTCACGAATCCCACGGGTGGCAAGCGGAGTGGACGGATCGACTGGGGCGACCCAAACCACTCCCGAAACTGATCTCTTCTGCTTCTCACGAGGGTGAGTGGACGGAGTTCATTGCTTCCGGTGGCGCAGGTGTTGTGATGGAGGATGGCACGCTTGTGTTTTCTCTGATGGCGGTGAATGAGGCGGAAGACGTTTACTCCATGATCGTGTATTTGACGGACAACGGCAGCACCTGGACGCTCTGTGAAGACATTTCCCCTGCGAAATGCCTTAACCCTGCGTCACCGAATGGGAGGGATCACTTCTCATGATTGTTGACTGCGAGAATGGCCAGAGGGTGTAGGAGTCGCGTGACATGGGGACAGCGTGGACGGAGGCCATCGGGACACTCTCAGGCGTGTGGGTCAACGCACGAGCAGGAGTCTCTCAGAAAGAAAGCCTGCATGTGGATGCCCTCATCACCGCGACCATTGAGGAAGAGAGGTCATGCTGTACACAGAGAGGGCACGCCTTGGGGGAAGAAAAGGCCGCTGCGCTCTACCTTTGGGTCACGGACAGCAACCGCACGCTTTCTGTTGGACCGGTTGCCGTGGACAATGCTGCGAATTGGTTGTTCGCCAGCACCCTGCTGTACTCGGATGGCAACTTGCATCTTTTACAAGGGAGGGGCAACGGTGAATGCCGTGCCATTTCACTTTCCCGCTTGACGGAGGAACTGAGTACGATCAAGTCCGTCCTCAGTACTTGGACGCAAAAGGACATTTTCTTCTCTAGATTGTCTATACCCACGGCGGGTTTGGTGGCAGTTTTGTCCGGTGCGTCCAGTGATGACACGGGATGACGAGTACCTTACTTGAATGCAACGGTGACAAATGGAGTGAAGGAAAACGATGGGTCACAAGTGACGGGACTTGAGTGCAGGGCAATATGGCCCGTGAACACTCGGGGTGATGAAGTACGTCATGTATCTTTGAGCCACGACTCCACACTTGTAGCGTCGGTGACCATCGAAATGACTCCGAGTGGGAACACTCCTCTACTGACTGCGGTGCTGGCGGGCACTGAGTCCAATCATACCATGGGACCGTCGTACAGCCAAAAGAAGAAGTGGGAAACGGCGTTCGGAGGCAAGACAACAACACTTTGCAGCACTCGGGAGCCGAAGGAACGAATACCAAGTGGCACTCATGCTGCAAGGCAACAAGGCCTCTGTGTACGTTGATGGTCAGTCGCTGGGGGAGGAAGAGGTGCTGTTGACAGGCCAGAGGCCACCTGAGGTACTGAGGGTTCGCTTTGACGCGTGCGGTGGGCACGAATCTCATGTGACGGTGAAGAACGTTTTTCTGTACAACCGCCCACTGAACTTCACTGCAATGCGTGCACTCAAGGACAGGGTCCCCGTTCCGACGAGAGAAGCGGCCCCGACACCTCTCGAGGAGATTCGAGTAGTTGACAGCGTCAGAGAGCACATTGCTGAGGATATTACAGAAGAGAAATGAATGGGCACAACGCAACGCCCCTGGACACGAATCCCCACTAAAAACAGTCACCTCGCAGTGTCTGGAGCGGTGTGAGTCCCAACGACCGCCTTGCCTCTCTCAACGACGCGAAATTGACACTGCGAGAGTTAACTGTTGACGGCACTGTGCGTGTGTGCGTGTATTGGGCGTTGCTGCTTCTGGGATTGCGTTTGGGTGGTGGAAGCCGTCTGAGCCGAAGAGTGTGGATTTGCGACGCCTCACGGAGAATACATGCTACATTGCCCGCAGCCTTTCCTATTTTTTTATTTATTTTACTGCTTTTTTGTCTTAACGTTTTTACATTTTACTGTTGGTTTTGATGTTGCCTTTAATGCAGTCTATCTGTTATAATAAGTACTGTTGTGTTCTTCTTTACGCAGTGTTCGGTTGATAAATGCCGTGATGAGTGAGTTGTTTCCCCCTCTTGTTTGCTTTTTTGTTGCCCACACGCGGTGCCGGCCCCACGGCTGTGTCTTCCACGGACTGCACGAAAGGAGGATTTGAGTAACAGGCCGGATGCCGCAATGAAGTGTGAGGGATGTTGTGTGGGCTTATGGAACAGCAAGATCTTTTTTTTAATTTCCATTTTTTTTGCGGGTAGAATGTATGCACCCGGTCTTCTTGTGCTTCTAGGCACATGAAATAAAAGCCCTGGCTGGAGAAGTTTTTTACTCTGTGAGTTCTGGTGGAATCACAATTTTTTTTCTTTTTTTTATTTTTCGCAAATACCCGTGGCTTGTTTCCGTTTGTGCTGTGCCTGCCGCCACTGCCTCTCACAGTGTCTTATTGAGCGTCCCTCTGCTGGCCGTGCTGTTGACATGCCTCCATTTTCCTTTCTTTCCTGCTAGAGGCACCGATGGTCCGCGACGACGATTATTTTTGCTCCCCCGTTGCGGTGGCACGAGGGTGACTGGGCGCGGCCTGCTGGGTGCACAAGGAAGGGAGCGGATGGTGTGCGCCGTGCCTCAATTGTGAGTGTGGGACGCAACGCCAATCCGTCGTGGCGGTGAGAAGTAAAGAACAGCGCCGTGACTTTTGATGCGCCGTGTCCCTCTCGTTGCGGCTGTGTGTGTGCTAAGCGCAAGGCTCTTTGTTGCAGTGCGACGTGGATGGCGTTACTGCTGAGCATGCTTTTATGCAAGCACTGTGCGGCGGACTTCCCTTTCCCATGGCACCGCCCTTTTGTGTGGTAGAGTGGAGTGAGTGGAGATGTCTGAGGGAGTGAGGGTGGCCGTTGTTTCCGCACATTTGCTTCTTCCACACACACTGCTTCTGTCGGCAGCTTCTCGCGGCATCCAGGCCGTGGATTGAGAGGATGGGAGGGTCTGCTCCAAGCACAAGGAGGGCACCGAGATGCAGCGCATGGAGCACGTGCGCCAGTACGCGTTGGGCGTTGCACTCATGATTGGGGAGGAGAGGCGGCACGAGATTGTGGCGCTGTGTGTGTTGTGTGGCCGGGGCATGCCGGCGATTGTGAGGACGTGGAGGACACGGAGCTGTTCGACTGGGAGGAGGTCGCTGACGTCGCGGCGCAGCGGGAGCGCATCACGGACTACCTGTGCTGGGAGGGGCGCGTGTTGAAGTGAGCGTGGCGTGCCTGTGAGGGACTGAGGAGAGGGCATAACAGTAGTGGTGACTGTGGGGGTGTGAGGAACGGGACAAGGGCGAGGAGCGCTTTTTTTTTTGTTTTTTTTTATTGTTGTTGAACCGCGTCCACCTAATTGTTGTTGTGGTGGTGCGTGACTCTCATCGCTGGATGGGACGGTGCGTGGCTGTGTGACTTGTGTCTCTTTCCTTTTGCTTTCACTCTGCGTTGACGTGTTGTTAGTTTGAGCCGAAGGCTACACGCAAGAGACAGGAGTGATGGCGATGATGATGACTGGCCGTGTGCTGCTGGTGTGCGCCCTCTGCGTGCTGTGGTGCGGTGCCGGTGGTGGATGTTCTGAAGCAGCTCCAGAATCTCCGGCTACTGGTGTTTCCGGTAAAGACAATAATCTTGAAGGTAGAAACAACACAACTGATGGCGTTGGAGGAGGTGGCCAAACCGGTCAACAGGAAGCATCACAAACAGCAGCAGCATCATTGGTGCCCGTATCGGGAACGGCACCGAACCCATTACCGGCACAACAATCCGCAGCAAAGGCATCGGAAGTGGCAAATGTAACGACGGAAAAAAACAAGGACACAACGAAAAAAGAAGGTGAAGCTGATAAGCATGAGAAATTGAAGGATGAGGAAGAGGAAGTGGATGATGGCAAGGAGGAGGATGGAGGAGAGGAGAAGAAAAAGCAAGAAGAAAAAGATGATACCGGCACCACAAAGACGAAGTCAGCAGGCGGTCAGGAAGAGCCAATCTCACCTTCTCGTGTGGAGGAAGCATCGAATAAAACAAAACCCCAAAGCACTCAAAAAACTGGCGACAAAGATCCAGCAGCTGATGGTGCAGGGACGCAAGAAGAAAAACAAAAAGAAAATAAAGAAGCCAATCCGAAAGAAACACCAGCCGAAGCCACAGCCATGAAAACTACGACGGCGACGACTGGAGACAGTGACGGCAGCACCGCGGTCTCCCACACCACCTCCCCTCTATTGCTTCTTCTTGTTTTTGCTTGTGCGGCTGCTGCTGCGGTGGTGGCCGCGTGAGAGTGAGGGAGAGAGAGCCATGCACCACCCGCACACACACTCGTCCTTCTCTCTCTGTGTGTGTGTCCCCTTGCATGGACTCTCGCCCTCACCTCACCCCACGAGGCACACACATAATGTGCCCATTGTATATATGCATGCACACCCATGCAGGCCCGTTGGTGCTCTCTTTTGCACGACACGCACCGCTGCCGTCCTGCCTGGCTGCATGGGCGGAGCACCGTAACTGTTTCTGTTTTGTTTCCATTGCATTGAGTGGGCGACCTCTCTCTCTCTCCCTCTGTGTGTGTGTTTTGCTTTACGGGAGTAATGAGAGTGTGTGCGCTGGTCGTCCCACACTTTTTTTTTGTTTTTTCATCGTTGTAATTGTGTTGTGGTTGAGTCCACCTTTGTCGCGCGTTTTTGATTGGCAATTTGCTTTGACTTTGGAGACATGAATCTTTTTTTGTTTCATATTCTTTCTGTTCTTCTGTGAGTTTGTCAGCCTCTTGTATTCTTCTCAAGCCAATTAGATTTTCTTTGGCTTATGATATGCGTCCGTTGATCCACGTTAACCCCACGGTCTGCATCGCTACCGCTGCTTCTTCTGCTATTGATGATCTTTGCGATTTGATTTGTCAGCGGTTGCTTTGTTGTCTCCCTGAATTATTCCTGATTCTTTGACGATGTGGTCTTCTCCGACGGCGAGGTCGATACCAGTGACGGTGGGGAGAATGCATCTCAGGGCGCTGGATGCGTTGCAGGTGTGCAGCGGCGTCTGGAAGGACCCGTTGGTGCCTGTCCGCATTAAGGTGCCAAAAACGGACCCGTGTGAGAGCAGGAGGCACTGCGTCTTCTCGTGGTCTCACGCAATGAATTTATTGAATGACAATTGCCACTGTGAGGATGGTGTTTTATCCTTTGCGCACGGTAATATTCTTGCCGAGGAAACTGTCCCTGCAGCTGTCAAACTGCATGCGGATCGTCTGCTCGTCCGGCCAATGGAGGGTCCGTCGATTGTGCCCCCATTTGCCACGGGCAGCGTTTGCAGTTGGTTCACGGTGCCTGCTGGGCATTGTTCCGCTGGAGTTGCCGATTCTGTCATGGTGCTGTGCGTGGCTGCGGCGCTTGGTGGTGTGTGGGCACTGCTGTGCGCCACGCTGGAGGATGGCCTTCCCGTCGCTGGCGCCATGCACTTTCCCGGTCGTTTCATTTCACGGACGCATCGCCGCACACCTGATGGCCCATGCTCTCGGGTTCAACTGCCTGCACATGGCCAGCCGCAGCATGGTGAGGAATGTTGCCTGTGTGCGTGGCAGGGCGCTGTCGGTGGTGGTGGACTCGACGACTGCCGCGATGGCTGCGAGGGAGCACCACGACTGCGACGACATTGATGGCATGGAGCTGCAGGATGGCGATGGGGACGGGAGGACGCTGGAGGCGCACTTATCACAACACCACGCGAGGGATGAGCGGATGGCATCGATTGGGAGTGCCGGCGACTGCATAGGAAGTGCTCCGCACTGAAAATGAATGAATATTGCCACATGCTTTGCGCATTGGGCGTTTCTGCCAGACGCTGCACGTTGGATCGGTATTCCCGTGGTTGCCGTTTGGGAGTATCCATGAAATGTCAGCAAAACGCCTGATGGACCGTTGCCCCATCACTGATCCCGCACTGGATGTGAGGGTTATTGAGGCTGTTATTTGGAGGGAGAATCTTTGTCTGCGATGCCTGGGGATGAGTCCTCTTCGTGGTGTCTGGACACGCTTCCCAACACGACGGATGCGAGGGACCCGGAGGAGACACACCTAAGTGCTGCCACGCATGCGGCATTGAAGTGCCTCGGCATGTAATTGCATCCGGAAGTGACTGAAGAGGGTAACGTCCGTTGGTCCCATGCACGGCCGAGGCGACGATTACGTGGGTTGCTCCGCCCTACGACGAGGGAAGCGTTATTTGCCGTGACCACGCTCAGGTGTGCACGATATCCGCCAACAGCGGCAGGCTGCTTCCAATAGTTTCGTGGGACGGCGAGGAGAGAGGGTGTGGTGCAGGACGGTTTCACCGGCATCTACTGAAGAAGGATTGCCAGGGGCATCCGTCCCCGTTGTGGAGAGCATTGATCCCGGTCGCGGCACACCACCGAAGGACGTCGACTTAGCTGCTCCCCAGAAGCATCCGTCGCCAGAGGAGAAGTGGATCCGGCCGGGATGCCCCGACAGACCGCGAGAAGCTTCTCTCGGCGGCAGGGACCGAAGCAGCGAGAAGGACGGCAGGCAGGCCTCGCCCCTGACTCCCGGTGATGACACTGCTGCTGCTGCTTGTCCCTGTCCGCTGCTTCTTCTGCTTGCCTCTACTGCCGCCGTGCCAACACTCCATGGAGTTGCGGTGTGGACTATGCTTCCTCCTGCGTGGCCCGCACCCAGAACTGGAAGCCCAGTGGGAAAACATCCATTTCATTGGGTGCCGTTCTCCATATGCATTTGCTGTATGGGCTCTGTTTGAGTTTGTGTTTGAGATTGGTTGTAGTTCCGATGCACACTGCTCCTCCCGTGTTGGTTGCCGATGTGGGCCACCGTATGGTCGTGTGGCATTGCTTGTGTGTTTGTTAGATTTTCTTAGACGCACATACACATACACACACCGGTGCGAGTGAAATGTGCGCACGCAAGACACACACACGCATATCCAATCACATTGTCTGTGTGACTTGTGCTTGACATAGTATGCGGGCGGGTTGGTGCGGTCAAGGCCGATGGAAGAAGAGCAGCCGCGTGAGCCCAGCAATGGCGTTTGTGGTTGTGTGCGGGATTATATATTCCATCAGATGCTTGACGCCGTTCATGGATCGTTTAAAGTTTTTTACTGCGATACCCATGCTGCGTCTGTGCTGAGCTGCTCACTACGTCTTCATGGACTCATGGAGCACGGCGTGACGCTGCTCGGGGACCCCATGACGCCGCGGCAGCCGATTATGAGTAGCCCTGCGCCCTACTTTTTGTCGTGGAGGATGCGTCTGTGAGCCGCGTGGTTGAGGATTGGATGGCAACGGTCCCGCACGGGGATGCACACAACTTTGCGCTGGGATGCACCCCGCATCGCAGTCCTCAGCAACTTGTGTGGGCTCGGATAGCGCCGAGGGCGATGCGTTCCAAGGACATTATGTTAGACTTCGCCGCCCCTGAGGTGCTGGTGTTCCACCTCAGCACGCAGAATGGGTTCCCTCAGCTGCTGTTGCCACTGTCGCCTCCGAATTGATGGTCCGTTGTGGTTGTTGCGGCGTCACGTCCTGTGGCGGCTATTCACGCCATGAACAACGGTGTGCCTGTCATTCGCCAACAAAACAGTGGCAACATCTGCCATGGGCTTGTCGCAACCTTTTTTGAGGACTTGCCAGGCAATACCACGACGAGCCGGATTTCACTTAGTGGCGCCGACAGCCGCGGCAACCCGGTGCGGATCATCGTTGATTGGGGCTGTGTCACGGTGATGCCGCTGATGCACCAACGCACATGTCGGTGTCTGCTTGATGACCTGATGCCGTTGGAGAAGAAAGTGTATGAGCAGACCCGTAGGAATCGTCTGGGGCGGACTCGAAGCGGCAGTTATTGGTGGATGAGGAAGATGTGTACCGGTGCTCCTACCGTCATTGTTTTCTTGCGCAGTGCGTGGAGGAGCTTCCGGTGGCGCTGAAAAAAACTCCGCGCGTATCACCCGGGATTGGTGCAGGGCGTGGAGTCGAAGGCCAATCTTGCGGAGTTGGGCAGTGCGGTGCGGGCTTCGCCGGAGTTTCGGGAAAGGCAAGCCAGACTGTTGCTGCACATCGATATTTGCGCGAGGCTTGTGGCACAGTACCGAGAGAAGCGACTGGTGGAGGTGCGGGAGGTGGAACAAGACATCGCCGTTGGGCACAAACTCCTCAGGAAAAACCTGGATGGCGTGCGGCACCTGACGAGGGATGCGGCGATGCCCCGGCCAGTGCGTCTGCGTCTCCTCCTGTTGCTTGTGACTGCGAGCAACACCGACGAGTTGACGGAGGCCAAGAAGCGGCAGCTGATCCGAGACGGTGGAATGACGCCCGACGCCCATTTGTTTGCGAACCTTGAGCATGTGACGAGGAGGGCCGGGAGCGTGCAACGATACAGTACGGCGTCGGCGCAGGGCGGACGGAGCACGAGTTCCTCTGCGGGCAACGCCGCGACGGACGAGGATCCGTTTCTGAAGCATGCCTGTATGATGATGGAGACGGCGGACAGGAATAGGACGCTGCGGGTTGGGCTGTCGTTGACATCGGTGCAGCGCGATCATGGGATAGGGCCAAATGGCGCGAGTGGTGGCCAAAACAGTGGAGCAGCAGGAAAAACCGCCGGGATATTTCAAGGTTGTGGTGGCAAATGGGGAATCATCCTGATCTGGGTGGCGGTGGTGGGACGATTGCCCTCACAACTCCTCAGCGCATAGTGCTGCTTGTTTTGTGTGGTGTGGCCTGCAGCGAGAGGCGCTCGGTCCATGAGATATCCAAAGGGTATGGCCGTGAGGTGGTCATTGGGAAGCCTCGCTGCTGCGTCCTGAGGTCTGTTTGTGCAGGGACTTGGCATCCTACGGCAGTGGGACTTAGGGACAAGACACGCACAGGAATGCATCGAGGGCCAAAGAGTCGAACAGATGCAATCACACACGATTGCGGGTGTCTGTGGGGATTGTGTGCGCTTCTTCCTGCATTCCCTTCCTCTCCATGAAGCGATTCGTACGATGCGCGTGTGTGTGTTTCAACGGCTGCGCTGCTCGCCTTTACCTTTTTTTCTTGCGTGTGCGGTCGCAATTCATTTCTCTGCCACGAAGAAGGCGGCTGAAAAAGGAGGGACATTTGTGGAGCATGCACCCACGGCTTCAGTGTTCATCCACTGGTGCTGACCTTTCTTGTCAGGGCATTTGTGCACGCTTTTCCCTCCATTGTTTATTTTTTTTTCGGCACAGGAGGCAACGGGTGGGCATTCGTGAGTGCTGCGGCGGGCTGTTGTTGCCCTCGCCGGGACGCGCTTAACGGCGGCAGCCCCATGACTTTGTGCACAAAAGGAATGGGACTTTCTTCGGATTCTCACCGCAGGCGCATGCCGTGGACGGCCGAAAAGTAGTGTGTGCCCGGTGTTGTTCATAGCTCCAAGGAAAAGATGGTGTTGGATGATGCACGACGAGTGGATGTGGATTGCGTTGACCGTGCATCGCAGGTGTATCCGCTGGAGGCATTGTGGGCGGCCGTGGCCACATGCGACTACAATACATTTAGAGGGAAGAAAATTTTTAATTGGCTTCTCAGGCGGAATCAAATGTACTCAGGCAATGGGTTTACCGCGAGGAGTGGCAGGAGAAGACGCACGACGAGGATGCCACTCGCACCGCCATTCATTCCCGTCGCCACGGCAGTAACGCGGCCCGCGCCAATACGCCTTGCGGATTTTCCGGGGTGGCGCACAATGGTCCGTTTGGTGCCATTGTTCCCCATTCCCGAGCGTCGGTGCATACTCCCTTGTCGATGCAAGTTCCTATCGATTGCGGGCACACCCATTGATTGATTGATGCAGCCGGCACCCCAGCCCATTGCTGGTGCTTCTTGCATGACTGCTGCATTGCAACACTTTACCAGCGAAAGGCAGGAACAACACAAACCGAATTGTTGGCTGCAACAACACAAGAAACATTCATGAGAGGAAAGAAATAATTGTGCACCCTGCAGAAATCCCCAACACACGATCCAGGCATGAAGGTTTGCCCTCTGCAAAAAGAAAAGAACGCATGCAGACATCTGCCAACATCCAAACAGAAACGCAAATAAATGATTGATTGCATTATGCCATTTCCTGCGTTTATTTTTGTGTGTGCCGCTGCTGCGGTGGTTGCCGTGCTTGCATGAAGTGGTGTGCGCTGAATTTGGACGAAGGCCTATGGCAACTGAACTGTTTTTGTGATGAATATTGGCTGCACTTCCCGTGGGCCAACAATCCACGTGGTGTGCGGGGATCTCCTTTTTTGTGTTGTTACTTTGCTTTTGTGCTGCTGTGTGCGCTGTACCTATCCTCTTGTGTGTGTGCGTACCCTCCGTGAGGGGTGCCGACACGACGGACCGCTCTCGCCGTATGTGCATGCGGTGGAGCCTTGTGTGCCGCTCCTGTTTGCTTCTCCCTCCTCCATCTGTGTGTTGTTGTTGCGGCATGGCTGTGTGTGTGTGTGCCTGCTGCCGTGGATTGGAGTGTGTGTCGTGCGTGGTGTGCGGCGTACGGTGCATGCCTGGCTGCTGCCCTCTCCTCATGCGGTGTGCCCTCTGTGTGTGTGTCTGCCGCACCTCTCGTCTCCCCTGTTGCTCTCCATGTCCCTCACTGTGCAGATCAGCTCCACACCACTGAACGACCACACTCACGATGATGACGTGCCGTCTGCTGTGCGCCCTGTTGGTGCTCGCCCTGTGCTTCTGCCGCCCGTCCGTGTGTGCGGAAGAGGCTCCGACGGCAAAAGAGTTAAATAAGACTGATGTAAGCGCCTCAACCCCACCGTCCAATCCACTAGCCACAACGACCGGTAAGTCAGGGTTGTCAGGTTCGGGCTCTGGTCTGGACAAAGGAAAGAATTCGCTAGGGAAAGCAGGTACGACCGGTCCGGAACCGCAACCAGGTGACGCACCCGATACGGTACAGGGTGAAGATAAGAGTATGACAGGGAGACCAGATGGCTCGAGACCAACCGCGGATCAAACAAATGAGAAAGCCAAAGATCATGCCGAGACGACCACGACTACAACAATGGCACCAACAACTACAACGACTACTGCGCCAGAGGCACCAAGTACTACTACGACTACAGAGGCGCCAACTACGACGACCACCCGCGCAGCGTCACGTCTTCGCAGAATCGACGGCAGCCTCAGCAGCTCTGCGTGGGTGTGTGCCCCGCTGCTGCTTGCCGCATCCGCGCTGGCGTACACCACTCTGGGCTGAAGAATTATGTGCGGTCTGTGCGTGCCAGCACTCAACCGCGGGGATTTGTGCACGTCCACTGTGGTCCGATGTAAATAAATAATAGAAAATAATGATTGTGTTTTGCCTCACTTGCCTCCGCTGCCCTGCTGTGTGCTGGTGCATGCACACTGGAGCCATTTGGGTGCAGGTTTTTGTTTCTTGTTTTTTTGTTTACTATTTTACTTTATTGCTGCGTGTTTACATTTTTTGTTTTGCTTTTTTTGTGTGTTTTCTTGTCATTAAATTTTTGCAGGGTGTTGTGCGTCTTTTGCACTTTCATTGGTTCAATATTTCTCATGAAACGCGCGCTGCCGGCGGTGTTTTTTACTGTGCCGTGTCTCTCCCTTTTTTTCTTTCACTCTGCGTTGACGTGTCGTTAGTTTTTGCTGAAGGCTACACGCAAGTGACAGGAGTGATGGCGATGATGATGACTGGCCGTGTGCTGCTGGTGTGTGCCCTCTGCGTGCTGTGGTGCGTTGCCGGCGGTGTTTATGCGAGGGATCGTGACAACAACGCAGTGGGTGGCTGCGTGGCGTCTGGAGGTTTTGGAGCCAAGACATCGTATGTGAAGAGCGGCCGTGAGAAAACTGCGCTCACGCTGCCTTTGCGGTCCATTTTGCCCATCCCCGCCATACAAGCCGAGGATGAGCAAGAAGCACGTGAGTCAGAGGAAGAGAACACTTTGGGTTCAGTTGGGACTACAGGTCCGGGTTCTGTTTCTGGTGGAGGTCACGGTACTGTTGTTCCTGGAGTTGCTGGTGATTCCGGTGGTGGGCCCAATTTGAAATCACCTTCTGTTGATACGCCTGTAACTCACGGTGGTGGCGGCGCGGGTTCTACAGGTGGCCTTTCATCCACTTCGCAGGGTAATTCCCAAGGAGTTTTGCCAGAAGTAGGACCAAAGCCTCAACAGTCTTCATTGCTTGAAGAAAAGGTGGCAGCGGTAGCCCCCACCTTAGTGGAGCCACCAAAAAATTCTGCCCCAGCAGGGGGTGAAAGCGTTGAGAACGACGCCCAGTCGCGTGCGGATCGTCAACCCCGTTTAGACGAATCAACCAAAGGAAAATTGAATTTGGACCCCACCGAAGCAAGAGCATTACCAGGGGACACAAATCAAACACTGCAGGGCGGTGAGAAGGCCGTACCTGACGTATCTAAAGCAACAGAGCCGGAGCCCAAAACCCAAAAAGAAACAGAACCTTCAGAGGATAAGAATGACAGACACAACACGCATGCATCCACAAAATCACCTGATGTGCCAAAAGGAAACAATGCGAAGGAAGGAAACAACGAGGATCCTGCACACACACCAGTTACACCGCAGAGTACATCAAATGGCAGCCAACAACTGGCAGCTGTGTCACCTTCAACCGGAACTCCTACATCAAACGAGGAAAAATCCACAGTGGCGAAGGAAACTGAGGATCCTCAACCTTCAGATACTTCACAGACAGAAAAACGCCAAACTAGCGGTAATGGAAAGGTCGACGACAGTGACAGCAGCACCACATTGAGTGAGGCAGCACCACAAACAGCAATAACAATTACCGCCGCCCAAACAAATCATACGACGACACCTGGCGACAGCGACGGCAGCAGCACCGCGGTCTCCCACACCACCTCCCCTCTTTTGCTTCTCCTTCTTGTTGCGTGTGCGGCTGCGGTGGCGATCGTGTGAGAGTGAGTGAGAGAGAGCCGTGCACCGCCCGCACACACACTCTTCCTTCTCTCTGTGTGTGTGTCCCCTTGCATGGACTCTCGCCCTCACCTCACCCCACGAAGCACACACAATAATATGCCCATTGTATATATGCATGCACACCCATGCAGGCCCGTTGGTGTTCTCTTTTGCACGACACGCACCGCTGCCGTCCTGCCTGGCTGCATGGACGGAGCACCGTAACTGTTTCTGTTTTGTTTTTATTGCATTGAGTGGGCGACCTCTCTCTCTCTCCCTCTGTGTGTGCGTTTTGCTTTACGGGAGCAATGAGAGTGTGTGTGCGCTGGTCGTCCCACGTTTCTTCTTTTTGTTTTCCTTTTTGATTTTGTGGTTGAGTGCACCCATTCCGCGGGCTGTGTGTGTGTGTGATGATATGAGTAATTTGCGTGTGTGCTATCTGCCTCTCTCTGCCGTTGCTTTCTTCAGACTCTCTTGTGGCGCACAGCTGCTCTGCAAGTATAGGCGCTGCCAAACACACAAGCACATGCACACACATGCCGTGTCGCTTACGCTGTAGAGCGGCGTGATTGCTGAGGAGGGACGCACGCAGAAGATTCCGGCTGCGACGTCCCTTGCGAGGAGGGAGGAAGAGATCCTGCAATTTATTTTTTGAAATGTTGCTGGCGTGCAGTCTATTGGGTGGTGTGGCTTAGGGTGCCTGGGACAAGTGCGCATTGCTTCTCGTCCAGCTGCTGCACGTGGCAATGTGTCTCTCCCATGCTGAGTATACTTTGGTCAGGGATTCTTCGCCTGTGCGGGGTGATGTGCGTTGGAGGGTGCGCTGGAAGGGTGAACAGTAAAATGACTGGCAACAGCGCGTGGGCTTTGCGAAGGACGGTCGTGTTCTTTTGCATTCTGCCGGTTGCTTTTCTGGGTGTGGGAGTCGCTCGGTGTGTGCTGACGCGTGAATAACAACGCACCCGCCGTGACTCCTACTGCTTGAGGTGGCAGTCGCTGTGTGTTCCCGGTGCACTGTTCTCCCTTTTCGCTCCGTGTGTCTGTGTGCGTGAGTTGTTATTGTTGGGAGTGACTGCGACGGGGATGATGGTGCCACTCACTGTAGGTGGCGGTGCTCACTGTTTCACCCCTACTGTCGTCATGTTTTTTTCACTACTTTTTCCTCTTTTTTCTAAACCACTCACACACAAAGGAAAGAAGTTACTACCAAGCGCTAAACGCTGCTGTGAAATTCGAAGGCACTGAAAGGACCAACAGCACACACACCGCCCACAGACACATATTTATATGCTCTCACGTGTTGCTGCAGTGAAGGCACCCCACACACACAACCGTCGCCGCGTGACCGGATCCAGCGGAAGGAGGAGGGAAGGAAGAGAGAGTGAGCCGCCGAGGCTCAACATGTCCCGGCGTGTGTTTACTTCCGCGGTGCTGCTCCTCCTCGTCGTGTTGATGTGCTGCAGCAGTGGTGGGGCTGTACACGCTGCTGAGAATGTGGGTGATCCAAATTATAAATGGAAGGACATAAAGAGTGAGGGTGAAGGTGTAACTGTGGACTCGTTGGGTGTTCCCGGCCTATTGAAGGTGGGGAGTGACGTATTTGCCGTTGCTGAGGCGCAGTGCAAGAAGGGTGGAGACACCGTCTTTACCGGCATTGCATCCCAACTACTAACGATGGAAACGGGTAAAGAAAAGGAGGAAGTGCTGAAGGAAGCCAAGGTGAAAACACAGGTTCTGGAGGAAGTTACTTCCTCAGAGGGAAAGAAAGTAGATGTGAGCCGACCAACAACAGTTGTGCAGGGAAGTAATATTTACATGCTTGTTGGAAAATACAGCCGTAAAGATGGTCAGGAGAGTGGTGCAGGTGACTGGGGCCTTTTGCTGGCGAGAGGAGACGTCAGTGAAGAAGAACATAAAAAAAAGATTTACTGGAAAAGTACTGAAAGTCTCCCGCGAGGAATTTTTGGCACGCAACCCGAATCCCTGACGGGACTAATTGGCGGCGGTGGATCGGGCGTTAAGATGAATGACGGTACAATTGTGTTCCCCGTGGAAGCCACGAAGACGATGAAGGAGGGCACTGGAAAGGATGGAAAGACTGTTTCGTTGATCTTGTACTCCTCGGAAACTAAGAATTGGACGCTGTCGAAGGGGATGTCTGCCGATGGCTGCAGTGATCCCTCCGTTGTGGAGTGGAAGGACGATAAACTCATGATGATGACTGCGTGTGATGATGGCCGCCGCAGGGTGTACGAGTCCGGTGACAAGGGGGAATCGTGGACGGAGGCACTCGGGACACTCTCGCGCGTGTGGGGCAGCAAACAAAAGCGACATGAGAAGGGCGCTAGAAGCGGGTTCAGCACAGCGACTCTTGGCGACGGTGTTGAAGATAAGAGAAACGTGATGCTCGTTACTCTGCCGGTGTATTCCAAGGAGGAAGGCAATGGAGAAAAAGGCGTACTCCATCTTTTGCTGACGGACAACACGCACATTGCCTATATTGGGCCGGTATCCGAGGAAGACGAAGAAGAGATTACCGCCAGCTCCCTGTTGTACAAAAGTGGAGATAATAATGAGGAGGAGTTGATTGCACTGTACGAGAAGAAGAAGGGCGGTGGGGAATCATCACCCGGTATGGTCTCTGTGCTTCTGACTGCGCAGCTGAAGCGGGTGAAGGATGTGCTGGCGACCTGGAAGGAAGTGGACGAACGTGTCTCCAAACTGTGCCTCACGTCACGTGCTGCGGTGAGTGTCTTAACTGAGAATGACTGCAAAAACATTAAGATCACGGAAGGGCTGGTTGGCTTTTTGTCCGGCAACTTCTCTGATGGCACATGGAAGGACGAGTACCTCGGGGTGAACGCCACAGTAAAGAAAGGAACGAATGGGGTGGAGAAAACGGAAAATGGTGTAACATTTAAAGGACGTGGTGCGTGGGCGGAGTGGCCCGTTGGCAGGCAAGGGGAGAATCAGCTGTACCACTTTGCGAACTACAACTTCACTCTTTTGGCGACGGTGTCCGTCCACGCTGTGCCGGAGAGGGAGTTACCCCCATTCCATTGTTGGGTGCGAAGATGGATGACAATGAGAAGAGTGTACTCGTGGGACTGTCGTACAACAACAAGGAAAAGAAGTGGATATTACTGTGCGATGGCGGAGAGAACAAGGAGCACAGCAGCCATTTGGGGACAGAGAATTCAGAACACGTGGTAATTTTGCTACGGAACGGCAACCAGAGCTCCGCGTACGTCGATGGTAAGCTCGTGGGGAGTGCAGAATTTGAATGTGAAAACACGAATGATGAGGAGATCTCACACTTCTACATTGGAGGGGATGGAGACAACGCAGAGGACCAAGAAGGCGTGTCTGTGACCGTAACGAACGTTCTGCTGTACAACCGCCCGCTGACTGAAGAGGAGGTTGGCGCCCTCAACCCGAATAAAGCCCCCATTACGTCTCCGGTGACCGAAAATGCGCCGGAAACCGTGTTGCAGCCTCCTGCGAAACCACAGCCGTCGGAACACGAACCGTTGACGACGAATATTGGTGCTGGCGGTGTACCCAGTGCAGCTTCCACTGCTACGACTCCCTCGTCTGATGTTGACCCAACGGTGGTGACAGGAGGTGGAGATACGATGCGGGGAAATGAATCTCCCCAAACTCCTGAAGTGAGCGCTAGCTCTGGTGAGGATAGGGAGACGGCGGGAATAACGGATGCGCAGGGAGAGGAGGATGAAATCCATCCACAGGCCGGGGAATTAAATGCCACGGCACTCAACAGCAGCATCGGAAATTTGTCGCGGGGGAATAACAGCGATGCCGGCACCATGCGTGGGAGAGGACTGCTGCCGTTGCTTCTTCCGTTGGGACTGTGGGGGTTTGCGGCTCTGTGAGGAGTGACTGACTGCCGCGTGGAATACCTGCGTCCTCCCCACGACAGAAATACTATTTCCATGGGAACAAATTTCTTCCATAAATCTTTTTCTTTGCGTATCTCAAATTTATATTAATGTTTGCTACTTTCTTGTTTTAAAATTCTTTTTTCATTTTTATTTGTTTGTGATTTTCATTTTTTTTTCTCATCCCCCATTCATCTTTTTTGCTTTCGGGGGCAATCACGATGGACGTTTTTTCTTTTCTACTCTTCCCTCTTTTAATTGTTTGTTGCTGCACTCTTCCTGTGAGGGGTGCCGTGCGTCTCCCGCACAACTGCTCCACTCGCACACCCACCGACACGCTCATGACGACGGCCCTGTGCGCCTCGCCTGCTGCACGCATGAGGAGGGGCCGCGACGAACGGCGCGCTGAGGGAGCCGTGACGTGTGGGCGTGCGACGAGGGCCTGTGGGGCGGAGCACACATTTCTTTCCCTCTTGTTTTGTTTTCTTTGCGGCCAGGGCTGGCAGACACCCGCAGCGCCACACACACAGGGCCACACCCTGCCGCCGTGTTTTTCTTTTCTTTTTTTTTGCTGCGCTCACTCTCCCGATGGAGTGACGCGACTGCCGTCATGTCTGCGTGCTTCTCTCAGTCCCCACACACACGAGTGACTGTGCTCTGCGGGCCGCACTCACGCCGATGAGAGGGCTGAGGGGAGCAGCAACACGCAGATGACCCCATGAAATATAAACGATGTGCGGACACACGGAGGGTCGGACGGCTGAAAGACATTTGAATATCTTTTAATTTTCTTTTGCGGGCAAAATATGCAGACGGTTTGGTGTGGCCACACGGCAGCCGGCTGCTTTTTAAATTTGTGTGGAGCAGTAATGGACGATTTCTTTTTTATTTATAATTATTTTGTGTGATGGGGTTTGTGTAAGTTGAGGGGAAAGCTTTTTTTTGTTTTAAATAAATCTTGTGTGAATTGCCGCTGCTTGGGCTGCAGTGCAGTCATGAGTTTGAGCGGTCTTCTTCTTATTGCTTCCGCCACGCACCTCCGCTGTACATTTTTGTGCGTCCCTCCACATACTCTGCTTCCTCTTTTCTACTTCTTTGCTT